CTCTCTCTCTCTCTCTCTCTCTCTCTCTCTCTCTCTCTCTCTCTCTCTCTGGGTCATGGAGACTTTTGCAGTTGTTCTTTCTTTGCTGTTCCCCTTAATCAAAAATAAATCTTCTCTCTTGCCCTTTGTTTATGGGAAAGCATATTAGGCAAGTTCTATGAAGCAAAAAAGAATTGCTCTGCTCGTGTGGAGGGGGCTTTGCATTCTTAACTGGAATGCCCTTAAAAATGCCTCTGACTGCTGTTTTTAGACTGCACTCAGCCCTACCAAGCTCTGGTGATACCAGGCCTGAATATGAGTGGTGATGTGGGAAAATGGGGCCTCTTTTAAGGTTTCTGTGTCACTGTCAGAGCATTCAGGCATGTGGAGACACGCCAGTCCTGGTGTGTGCTTTTTTTCTTTTTCTTTTTCTTCTTTTTTTTTTGGTTTTGTTTGTTTGCTTTAACAGCTGCTAATAATTATATTATCCTGCTAAAAAGGTAGTTGTGGGAAATCTTTGACAGCAGTAAAGTGATAGCAAGGCGAAGATGCTGTTCCCCCTCCCCCCAACCCTTTCTCCATGTTAGCTTTCTGATACAAACAGCATTCCTGCCTCATTCCCTTCTGAAGTTAAAAGACTTAAATTCTTTACAAGGAAGGTCATCCTTTCATAGCCAAAAGTCTGTTTGCTTTCGTCTTCCCACTCACTTTCAAATAAAAGCTGAGAGTGTACACCAGCCTGCTGCAACCAGCTCCAAAATTAAGCATAATGAGCTCCAAAAAGGGACTATTAATGCATGTTTCAGGCACAGAATGCTTTCCAGCAACTCTTCCAAGAATGCTCTGAGGATTGTTCTGACGCTGACCTGATCAACAGTTAAAGAGCACCTAATGTACAAACCAGTTACTTATTGTTCAGAGCCTTGCTGTGCTTACTCCAAAGAACACTGTCAAGTACTTCTAACAGTATTAAATATTATTTATTGACCTTCCATTGCTTGTAATAATAACCTTTTAGAGGCTAGAAAATAATGTTTTCTTTTCTCCTGCAGATCTTGTCCTATCAAACATTATATTTCCCCCTTCTGGTGTTTCTAACAGACCTTGAAATTAACATTGCATTTATGCTGGGGATATATAAACACTTGCTTGTGCTCCAGCACCACTATCATCAATCAAAACACCCAAAACACAAGAAATGTAATGTGGATGAACTCCCCTTCCATTCTGGAGATAATGGGACAGATTCTGCGTTAAGATTTAAGTGTGGTCAAAAGCTGTTACATGTGTGTTACAGTGGCAGAATTTGACTCAAAAGTTAGACCAGTGATTGTGGCTGCAAAGCTAGAAGGATTTTTTTTTTAAATACATCCGTGTAAACGTTGGCCACTGGGAGATATTTATTGCCCAGTGGCAGAATACTTAAAAATAAAAGCAGGTATCTACTAAGTCCGTCCAAAATTTAAAGAAACTTGAAACTGGACAAGATTTGGGGTCAAAACTAAACAGTAACATTCCTATGCACCCTGAATAAATCCAACCTCATGAGAAATAATCTAGGCTCAAAGTGAAATATGAAATATGGCTTTGTCAGACTGTCTTATAGTTAATGAAATGACAATTATTCCACTTACATTAGCAATTACCAATAAAAGAATTTATGATTTACTTTGAACAGTTTTATTCACTGAAACATAACATTTCAATAAAACTGTTATATTACTATTAAAGGCTTATTGCACTGAAAACCCAAGTAAAAACTCAGCATGTTTCAGGGTCACATTAGCTACCAGCAAGTAGGTAATATTACTTCAGTGCTATTTAAAAGGTCCCCCTTCTTACCAGGATCTTTTCTTCCCCCATGAAAACACAAATGTGAGAAATGAGCTGAAATGTAAACACTTTGAGGCATGTAGAGAAGAGATACACCAGAGGCAGAAATTCACATTTGAGGAAAGCATAGTAATATAGGCTTGCACAAGTATTCTGAGTTCTAAGGAGGGGTTTTCCATAGCTTGTAGCTAACTGCTCATGCATGGAAAGGCTGACATTGCAAAAATGCTGGTGTGGGGGAAGGGAGAGAGGAATGGGAAGGAAAGCAAGAGGGAGAAAGAATCCTGCATGCTGCTTTTTGCCTATAGATTCCTATTCGAGTTACTGCTTGAGACACTTACCAAGATATTAGGCATAATAGATCTGATAAAATAATCACGCTTGCAAAGCCTGTATGTGTTTAAAGACTGCCAGAACTTCATCTGTATCGTGGGTTCCCACACAGGAAATAATGCTGGATGATTTATAGCATTTTATTGCACCGCTTGGCCATTGCTAACATTTTCTTCATTGAGTCATGACAGAAGCTGCAACTCGAATTTTCACTGTGCATTTTGCCAGCTTTCCTCCCCACCCCTTCTTTTGTCTTTCCTGGGTGAACTTGCACTAAGTTAAAAAGGAGATAAAAGTTTATAGAACCAGATGAGAATGGAGGGGCTAGGCTCCAAACACAGAACCATTGAGCATATTGCCAGACTTTTATCTAGCCTTACAGAAAATAGAGTATCCAGAAAAAAGAAGGGTGATTATAAAGGAGAGTGGCTTAGCCTGTAACTTACACAAAAATTCTTGGCAAGAATTACGGTATTTTTTTTAAACAAACAAAACAATATTTCCTGGTTGGCAGTTCCCAAAGCCCTTCCTTGTTCCATTTTTTGGCACATTGTTGAAAGGTCATGCTGATGTATTTCCAAAACATGGCCATTGAGTAAATCTTCACACATGAAAAAAGAGTCCTCTCTTTTATAAGGTCTGATCTAACTTCTACTACTCCTGAGTGACTTTCAGGGTGTAAAATTAGGGTCAGTATCACAAAGGCGCAAGCTCATGTCAGGTTTATAGGCAGAACTGGTTATGCCACCGAATACTAAGACTGCCCAGCATAACATTGTAAGGTCCTGGTTTCAGTTGTTCAAATTATGTGCAATCAGATCCTCTGAAATGAACTTGGAGCCCCTGGAGGACCTTCCAAGAGGGGCAGATCTAGATTGGCCAATATGGCAATTCCTGAATTGCCTGCACATGCAGACTGGAAAATCAAAAACAAACATGATCAAATTGGGCTACCCTACTGATACGAATATATGGGAGTGCAGTGAAATGCAAAGTATGGATGGAGTACATGCCCGTTTACCAACTCCTTGTTGAGACCTGTATGAAGGAGGACCTCACTGCAGCAATGGAAAGAGCCATCACTTGTGCACGATTCTGGAAAAACACTGAATTCATGACAAGGACACGAGAAGAAGTCACTCAGAAGTTTGCCAGATTCCAATTGTTCAGGCTAAAAATATTCATGCTGGGTTTCTCAGACAGCCATCTCTGAGCATGAGACTAGGAAAAAATACGTTGTTTTGCACATGTTCAAAAATTCTAGTGACCTTTTATTTGAAAACACTAATGCCTCCATGCTTTGGAGCAGGGACTTGAAATTTGCTATTTAAATTAAGGAGGTGCTTTTTGCCATCCATCAAAATCTACCCAAATTTTCCCAACTTAAAAAGCTTTTGAAAAGCTGCAGTTTACCTGCACCCAATAGACTTTAGGGGAAAAAATATTTTTGTTCATGTAATTAAAGCTATTATCATAACTCTTATGTGCCAGGCAGATGAATTAATGTTGCATAGGCAACCTTAATTTTAGCATTTCCTAACTTTTGACTTTTCAGTTTTAATCATGGTCTTTTAAAGTAGTTTGTGTGTGTTTTTGTGTGTGTTATATATATTTGTGATACAAATAGGAGGGATGGTCTAGAGCAGTGTTTCCCAAATTGCTGTCTGTGGGTCCCATGATCGATGAAGCCATGGTAACTGGTTAGTGAATCTCCCTGGCCCATTCCCTTACAAGTTCACTATTAAGGGTACCAGCTGGTTCACAAGAATTGTTAAGGACTGACGGTAGTTTTTTTGTCAGAAAAGTTTGGGAACTGTAGATCTACAGGACAGAGTACTTGGCAGAGTACTTCAAAAAATGGATGTTCAATTCCTTGACTAACTTCAATTTTTCAAGCATGTCCTTGTGAAAGTCACTGTGCCTCTGTTCTCTATCTATGTTGTGAAATTCACACCATTTCTCCACAGGGGTAAAGGGCTTCAATGTATGTGAGTTATTCAGATGTGATGATGTAAGGACTCACTTCCTTCAAAGTAACTGTAACTGAAGACTGTCTAATGTTAGTCATATTTTATAGGGTATCACAGTAGCACTTAGGAACCCCAGTTATGAACTATGACTATACTAGGCACTGATGGAAGAAGATAGTACTACTAGGCTTCCAAAATACAATTCTGCATCATCAGCATAATTTTTTTAATTAGCCATTGTGATGTGTGTCTTTCTGCACTTTGCAATATTTCTTTTTTTAGGAGTTTTATATTAAAAAAGAAAATGAATGTGAACCAGAAAGCTCTTTCAGATACAGAATTGATGGCCTCCCTCCTTCGGCCTCTTTCGGATGAGAAATGTCATATTAGCTGTCAGCAGTCATGCTGCCAGTGCTTGCATTTACGCAAGGAGTTAAAAGCAAACGCCAGTCTGTTGCCATTAAACTTCTTCTCTGATCCCAGAGAGTTTGCACAGGGCTGAGAGGCTTTGAAAGAAAGGCAGGTTCCTTGTCCCCTTTGACATACAAACATCTCAGGCAAGTTACCGTTTGTTTATTCCACTGCAAACCTCAGAACAAGCTGCAATCCAGGGCTCTTACCTTCCATAACATGACCTTTCAAGTGTATATGTCCCTTCAAACATTTGAGTTCAGTGAGATAGAATTAAAATCATTGACCTTTTATTCTGATCCACCTGATTCCCCCCCTCCCCCCCATTTTATATCCTTTACTTTTAATAACCAAGAAGCACATCTGCAGGTTTTGTCATAAACACTGAAAAAAGCATTAGGGGTTGTGAAGTACCTTGGAAAAATCCAAATTAAAGAACATACTGCAGCAATTTATGTTTAATCTCTGAGTTATTACACAGTGCAGCTGACAGTCTGCATTCGGCAGAACTTGGAGTTTGTTTGGTTCCCTCCTCATCCCAACCCCCTTCCTCTTCACGCCGCCTCCCCCCACCCCCTAGAAACCAGCAGTACAAAAAAAAAAAACTACAGAGGAATTTCTCTCTCCATTGGGGGTCTAATATGTAAAACACACACAAAGGACTAGTTCCTGTTCTGGTCAGGAAACTAAAAAGGGATACATTTCTTAAAAGTATCAAATAACATTGTCAAATAAACAACAACAAAAAGAACCTGGTTTACTGGAATGGCTATGTAGCTTGTTAATTGATGATTTGGAAGATCTTGAGCTTCCTTTCTTCTAGTCAGGCCACTCTGCCAAGAATCTGCTGCACTGTTAAAGTCATCACATTACTGTCATCATTTTCTAAAACGTGCCATTGCCTTTGGTAGTGTTTCAAAAGTATAAAGGAGACAGAGGGAATTTGGGGAGGGGGGGAACATACAAGGATGAATCCTGACTTTCTGCACTTCAGCTGAGAGAAGTTAACCCAAAGAAATGAAAGATGCAGGCACCCAGGCCTGTCTGACAAAGCAAAAGCAAGGGAAAGCAAAAGAAAGAATGATACTACTAAGGGGTGGGGTTCTGTTTTTCTCAGAAACGTGCTGCACTATAGGACTGTGCCTTTTATTTTTGGCGCAAATTGCCATAGCAAATTATATAGCTTATCAGATGTGGTTTGTTAGGCTCAACAAAGAAACCACTGCAAGGACTTGTTTTCCTTGTTGTCTGCACCCAGTTACGAGTTTAGCACAAATCAGATTCCTCATGGTGTACACGAACAAGGTTAAAACTCCAGTGGTCTTGTTTTAACAGTAACTGAATTGAGCCTGATTGGGTTACAAAGCAATTCAGCCCAATTGGGTTGAATCTCTGTCTCTATACCAAAACTACAATGACCTGCATGTTCACATTGATGCACAGAGATTTAATAGCACATTTGTATATGAATGAAAATATATGGACTACATTCACCCATGTTGTAAGCATATGCTTGAATCCAGCTCAAAGTGGGAGGCACACACTTACTCCAAGAAGGAATCTGCCCCCTTGGCTTAAGTAGCAGCTACGGGCACAAAGAGGGTGCAGAATCACAATGGTGTGCTCTCTTCCCCATAGGCTAGCTGTGCTATTGGGGCTCAGCAGCAAATTAGAGGTGGCGCACAAGTTGAGCAGTCATGGAAGGGGCTGTGGACAAATGACACTCTAACACTGGTGCAAAAAACTAAAATAGATTACATGGATGTGAGCCATGCTGGGGTCTAGAGCGGATAGACAAAACAAGCTCTCCTCTGAGTTGCTCACAATAGGCACTATTATGATGTCTCTCCACTAGGTGGTGAGAGAGCCACTAATAGACCACAGGATGAAGTGAGGTTGGGCTCATGAAAGCTTATGTTATATATAGATCTCTGACTTAGGCTGTACTGTGCAAATCTATCCTGCCTTCTGCTTGACTTCAGACTAACATGGCTAACTACCTCGCTCTGTAAACAGCTATCCCAGGATGAAACAGATCAGAATTGCAGACAGATGAGCCATTTGCTGGTGTCACGTAGTTAGTGTGAAGGATAATGACTACAACTTTAAGGATGACTTTATACTGGACTAGACTGCCTGTCTCTGGGGAGGGCTCCACCCACTTTTACACTGATGTGAAAAGCAGATTACCCTGATGTAAACATGTAGCGTGTCCACACCCTGAGTCACCACACCTGCTCTCCCTCCCTCTTGCTCTGGAATGCAAGCCATCTTTGAATCAGTACAGTTCACGTTCCTCCTCTCCACTTAAGCTTGGACAGCAGATTTGGTCAGCAAGTGCAAGGGTAGAGCCAAGCGACAGGTAAGGTACACAAGGAGGAAATAGACTCAATATGAGAT